GTGCAGAGACAGATGGTGCAGGTTGGTGACCAGAGCAGCACAGCCACCTTAGTGCTTTAACTAACCCTCAGGGAAGGGAGAACAGGAAGGCAAGAGGCAAAGAAAACTTAATTTTTTCCCAAGTATAGGAAAATAATATTTACAGCCTACACTTTCTCCACTGAAATCTTTTAGAACTAAGATAAAAATGTATTGCAATTCAGTTATTTATGATGCTTGTGGCACTGAGTCTCTGAAACATCAGAGATCCTGTTGTATGATTTCTTATTGACATGGTTTTGGTCCACTTCTGTCTGGCCATCCAGGTCCTATTCTTCTCAAATCTTTTGATGTCTATCTTCCTCATGTTGCCAGACTCACATTTCAATTTCTCCTTCCTGTCCCAGTTCTCCACAATTCTCTTCCCCCTGATTTGGTATTCAGCTCCTCTGAATTTGGCTTGGTTTCCTTCCATGCTCCCAGAAAAGAGGTCAAACTAAACCACTCTGCTCTCGATTTCAAAGCCTGGGTTCACATCAGTTCTCACCAAAATTTACAGCCTTACATCTGAGGAGCTACTTTTTACAGCACTTTACATCTGAAGAGCAAATCCAGCACTGCATTTGCTTTCCAAACAGAAGTTATTTCAGCCTCCCAAGTTTCTTTCTGAAAGCAGCAATACCCAGCATTCAAAGCCTGCCCAGCTCATCAGAAACTGAAAACCACAGGTATGCAAGATGCTCTTGTTCTCACCCAGTGTTTTGTTCACCTTTAAGCTAATGCTTCAGCCTCAAAGACAAGTGTTTGTCGAATAGCAGGGTTCCTAATGAACATTTTGATCAAGGAATTCAAAGAACACTCAGGTTGAAATGACACTGCAGAGTGATCAAGGGCTCTGCTAAGGCAGGGGGAGGCTCTGCAGCTCCTCTCCACATCACACAGGAGTCAAAGTCAGCAGTGACACACGAGGGGTGGCTGCCTCACACTCTGCTCCTCTCCCTCACTGAGCACTCCTGCACTTGCTCTTCTCTGCAGCCCGACCTGTTCATGCTGACATCGCCTCTCCACTACACAGATCATCTTTTTATCCCAGGGACCAAACCAAATCTCTGCTTGAGGTGGGTACTGGAGGGAGGAAAACCACTTTTTCTTTTTGAAAATTCAAATATTTCTCTCAGATTTCATCTGAAAGGAAGCTGTAAATTCCCTTACAAGAGTTTGAAAAGACTTGTCTCACCCCTTAAGCTGCTCTAGGAGCTCAGGTTCAGCAGCATGGCCAGGAACATGCCAACACTCCACCTCATCCAGCAGAATATAGCAATCCTACTGTTATATAATACATACACTCTCTCTATATATATGTGTGTGTACACACTAATATACTATATATATACACACACTAATACACTATTTCTATACATTTAAGTTTCATCTGTTTCCTGAAGTTTGGTTATTCCTGCTGTAGTCTGCAATGATATTTAGTGAGAGGAAATAATCAATGAGGAAAAACAGTTGGACCAGTTTTACATATTCATGCATCTTATGGAGCAAGAGTATTTGTGAATGTGTTGATTTAAAATTATTCATAATTTCCCTTTTCAGTGTAGATGTTTTTCTAATATTTTTTACAGAAAAAAAATAAAAATATTCAAGTCTGAATTTCAACTAATTCAAGTTTTTCACTGGAATTCTAGAAAGAAAAATCTCTCATTTTGCAACAACTGCCAGGCTGACCCAAGATGAATATTTTCTTAAAGTCAGTTTTTGTATTTGACTCTTACTATGTGTGCAGCCTGAGACTTTGCCCAGCAGTTCATCCTTTTGCCTGATATATGGGTTGAACTGCAGCAATTTAGGACAGCTTCTCTAATTTCTCTAAAATGAAGCAAATCCTCTGTGCTTATCAAACACAAAAAAGGCTTGAAATAATGGTTCATTTGAAGTGACAACACATTGAGTTATACATGCACTGATTTGCATGTTCACTGGTGCTGCACAGAACTGGATCTGGAATGCACATTTTGTACTAAATGCTTTTAAATAACTATACTGAGTAATCAAGATCATTTATTAATAAGTAGTATTACCTTGTGCTCACTGACATTCACAGACTTTAAGAAACTCCACATTTCTGTTCATTGAAAAAAAAAAATTAAATCTATCAGTTTATTGTAAAAGCTTTCAGTTAGAAATGCAAAAATATTTTTCTGGGGTCACCCAAATGCCAGATGGCAGCAGAGAAGCTTTCAACTCAATTCAGAGGCTGAATTAATCTCCTTAGCACAAATAAATTACCATAGATTAGATTGTAACAGAAAAAAAATCTGACTCCACAATTTAAAGTTTTTTACAAGGCAATTCAGCCTCAGGTGAAGCTCCACGAGCTCTCTCCCAATTTTCAGACACTTCCATAAACCACAAGGAAACAAATTCCTACTTTAACACTGCATTGTAACACTAAGCAGTGGTAGTGACACAGCCAACACTTGGTTTCCAAAAAAGGGACCCTTGAGAGATTTTCTGAAAGCACTCCCAATACCCTGAGATTTCAAAATGAAAATAGAGAAAACTTAATGAGAAAATGTGAAATATACAGAAAGTACTGTTCAAAATCAATGTGTGAGCAATTTAAATACCTCCTTTGCCTGAGTGTTTCCTCTGGTAAATGTAAATACAGGTTTGATAACAGACACTGATTCCTTGCATGTATAAAGTATTTTGGAACCATAAGCAACTGATGGCTAGGAGATGACCAAGAAAATTCAGATAAACTAACAAAAAAATCTGGTGAATTTTCCAGATGATTAAGTTTGCAAAGACACTCTAAGGAACTCCTAAATTTCTGCACATTAATATTGCAGTAAAATGTCCTTAGCACATACACATTTGTAAATCTTTGACTGAATGCAGAATACAAAACAGCATTCACACTAATAGCTTATAAATACACAACTACTCTCAGTTTTGACTTTGGTTCCAAAGTGTTCAACTATGCAACAACACTCTCATTTCTACACCAACACTGCATAACACACTTCTAGTATGATACAGCCAGAAATTAATGGATGATGAACAATCTCTGTTTAATACTTCCTCTTTTTGCCTGCAGAAAATAATACATTTACAAAGAAAAGACCCAGCATCTGTGGGAAAACCCTGTATGATGTGCTGGGCATGGCACATCCAGCAGTGTGGGGGCTGACCCTGGCCAGCAGGAAAACACCACACAGCCCCCACTCACTGCCCCCTGCAGCAGGACTGGAAGGAATTAGAAAAGCCCAAGTGAAAAAAAACCAAATTTGTGGATGGAGACAAAGATAGTTTAATAAGCACAGGAAATAGGAGAGAAAAAGCCAAAGCAAGTGATGCTGTGTGGGAAAACCAGAAAGCTTTGATACTGCACAAGTGCTGCTCAGCAATAGTCAAAACACTGGTTATTATAAACCAGCTTTAGTCACAAATCCAAGATATGCAGAAAACTGGCACCTTAAAATATTATCACAGTTTCACCAGTTTTCAGGACACCACAGATGTTGCATGGTTTAATTTTATATAACTTTATTCATAGCTTCAAATGATAAAGATATTTATCCATCTTTCTGCTATCACTCTCAGCAATGCCAGATTTTGTAACACACTGCAACAAAAAAGACATGCAATTGACTGTCTAGCTGCTTATAGTACTATAAAATAGGTTAAAAGGTAATTATTGACCATATGTATTTGGCATATGTGTTGACTAAACAGATCAGGGGGAACATGGCTCATTAGCATGCTGGTGGTACCTGGTGCTGTGAGCTGGTAAAGTCACACATTTCTGACTGCTAACCAGAACAGTCCCCTGCACACGTGGGGTCCAGCTGCTCAAAGGTATCTACAACTCAGCAAGGAAAACAGGACAGCTGTAGCCACTGTAAAACCACTGCACATCTTAGTCACACACAGAATTGAAAAACAGCATCCATGGCCCATTCTTCAGATGATTATTGTATCACCACCAAGGGCCAATGCAGGAGATCAGGATCTAAATCAAGAGCATTAAGCTTACTCTTGGAAATAAATAATTTCCTAGAGCAGATTTTAAGAAGATGAGCTGTTCTGCAAACATCACTGTTACCATCACAGTTTCCTCCCTTTTATCTCCATTTCCTTGAATTACACTGACCATGACTGCCTATTTACATTTCACTGAGCCAGCCGATGTTAGAAAGCCCAGCTGAATTTACAAGATGCAAGTGAGTGTTCAGGAATCACAGAAGACAGGTCTCAACAGGCCTGGATAACATTTCTGATGTGTGAATATCATTTATTCCAATGAGGTGAGGTCTGCCCAGTGTCTGAGTTCACAACACTAAAAGATATACCCGCAGTTCTAATCAAGCTTACTCTTATTAGTACAAGACTCTGCATTTCATACTGTCCATTATGCTTTTTATCCCAGGACTACCTTTAGTACTATGTTACAAATGTTTTGTGTTACTCTCTCACACATGCACACTGTTTCCAAGGCAATGTTTACCTGCTAACACATCCTTATTGACACAGTCACCACGTGTTTTTAATAAGCTTGATTTCCATCTAATACCACTTTACATTAATGGGCTAACAAACTCTATTAGCATGCACACACAAATAATGGATCACTGTTCATTATAGAGCAACTACATGAATCTCACAACAGAAATAATAAAATGTAGCTGAAAATTTCTGCAGATGAAGACAAACAACTACTAATTTGGAATGGGCTTTTCTCCATTCAGATATCTGCTAAAAAGATTGCTCTGCAGTGCATTTTTAAGCAAATTAAGTTAAATGCAGAGGTACAAGCAGACCAATAGTCTGCTTGTGAGACAGTAGAAAATTATTATTTTCACCCGGGTGGTTTATACATTACAACTTCAAAGGCTTTGAACTTTTTGTACTGAGTGTTTATAAATATCAGGACACACAACAGCCCTGCAAACCATCCCCACAGACCATCAGGCTTCTCTATAAGGACAAAAGCACTGGGAGTTGCTCACCACAAGGGACAGGGGCCTCTTCCATGAAACAACACCAATCAGTCCTGACAACAGCACCTGGAACAGAGAGCAGAGTTACTAAAGAGGCTTGAGGGTTATACCAGTGTCATTAAAAACACAGCAGGTAATGAGATCAGGTTAATACACAGCCATGATATCTATGTCCAGAATGCTGGAAACCAAATACTAAAAATAAAATGCTTTCCTTTTATTCTCAATAAAAAAATAAACAGAACTAGTACTAAGCTGTTTTTAAACAACTTTCAATCCAGCTGCCAGATCCACTCAGTTGTGATCAGATCACAAGAAGTTCATTAAAATATTTCTTCTCTCCCAGTCCCAAAGGCTATCAAACACTAAAGGAGAATATTTAGGGCAAATGTTCTTGTGATCTCTTAACACAATTGAAAATTAGCTAAAAAAGGGGAGTAATGACAGATCAATCACAAAAACATCCAGGTATCCAGATAAACTAGCAGAAGGTTTTTTTGTTCTGTTTCACCCACCCAAACAACCTCCCCACTTGATCTTATGATTGAGAGGACCCATACATTCATTAAAACTTGGATTTAGCATACAGATACATTACTTCCTATACTACAAACCAAAAGCAAGCAGGATTCAGACCTTTATGCACCTAAGATAATCTTAGGTATTTTAAAAAAACATGCAAATTACAGTTGAGTCACCATAATCTTTACATGTAGTTAAAATGGAGAAAGAAACAAGAAATGGGGTGAGGGATGTTGGCCCTCGTACAGGAGGAAAAAAAAGTGGAGAGGAGCCTTTTTATTAGAACACTGAATTACAAAAATAGCAAAGTAGAACCCAAATAAAAGAATGGGAGAAAAGAATGCACAATATATTTATTTCAAGAGTCCACAGTGTCATTTTTTCACCTCAGCTCGTGCAGAGTCTGTGTAACAATAACTTCTATACTTAGCTAGTCACCTTTCCCACCCCATCCCTGCTTCCCTAACAATCTTTTGGGTGCAAAAATAGCAGAGCATAATAAACAGAAATGCATCTATATCTGGCCACTGCAGAAGTGATGTACACTGCACTGGGAAGCAGGCTGGAAACAATCCAGTCTAGTGATGCTTGGTGGGAATGTGGAGAAGGAGCTGTTGGTTATCTGGAGCAGCTGCCCTGGGGAGTGCCCAGTTTCAGCTTTCACAAACTCTGCTCTGTGGACACTCTTACTGTGAGCCTGTTTCGAGCATTTTTCACAATCTGACAATATCCACAGCTGCAGCAGCTGTTGAAAACACTATTCAGAAAGACAACATGTGGAAAATGTGCCTTTTGCTATTTTCTTTAGTAGCTATGCCATTAAAAAAAGACCCCTCAAATTAGGGGTTTTTTGTGAAACCTCAGTGTTAGCTTCTAAATGAAGTACAAATGCAACAGCTGGGAGATAAATGCAGAGTAAAAATGAACCAAGACCAGCACATGGCTATCAAAGACTGTCCAGATAAAGCCTACATGCAAATGTGCATAGTTTGTATTCCACAGCATTTCCTACAGCAGAGGAGTCACACACTTCTGGATGGTGGCCAAGTGAAGGAAAAATCGAGAATTCCATCTTTGCCATTAATTAAATGTGCTCACACAGCTATGTTAGCTTATTATTACTGTATGATAAGTTGGCTCTGGGTTGATAATCCTGTAATGTGGAACTGCACTCAGAAGGTAAAATGACAAGGTTAGCTAGTTTATCTGCTGGCTAGACAGCACATGCTCTCAATTAAATAAATGGGCTGGCTGAAATGGTGAGGTTATTAAAGAAAACCCTTCAGGAAAAGAAAGAAATTGCATTCCAAACCAGAGGATGTATTGATACATAAAATATTTGTAGGTAAATCAGTATTCACCAAGTCACATGGTCAGAGCCAAGATATTGTAGTGCACTACCTATGAGTAGCAAATCTTTACTTTCATTTACTGTGTGGCCTCCCTTCCATGAATTAAACCTCTACCCCTCTTGTCTTATTTGTGGCATTGCACAGGGTGCAAGAAGGGAGCTGATCCCTTTTGTTCAGCTGAACTACAGCTGTGTTTGACCTTTAGAGAGGCCTTGCTGGATGAAAGAGGTACATGTGTTTTGGTTTGGAAAAGGAGAGTTGCGTGGTGCTCACCGTACTGGCTCTCCATGCAAAAGGTCAAGCACAGCCAGGCCACTTGATAAATTTACACTCATTAAAGACACAAGAACTCAGTGTCCCACCTGTTTAATATTGCCATTATAAAAGGTCACCTCAACAATGCTGTCATGTAATTTACCAACCCCCATTAGTCCCCTGTGTTACCCAAAAACTCATTTTGCCTTGAGGTGCAGCTACTTTCAGTGCCAAGCACCTCACGTTAACCCACAATGGACACAGCTGCATAACTAGGAAAAAAGCACACAGGACATCACATAATGACATTTAGTTAGAATACACCCCATTACTATCAAAATAGAAATCTACAGCTTTCTCTTGATATTGAAGATGACCAGGAATTTAAGAACCAAACCAACAAACCCAAACAACCAAGTAAAAAACCCCAACCAATCTTCAGGTTTTGTTTTCTCTTCAGCTTATACTTCTTATAAATACAACGCTAACATTAAATACAGAGAGCAGAAACCTCACTTTATTTCTATACAAAAGCAGCAATTATTTGAAAAGTAGTATGTAATTTACAGGCCCAAAATATCTTACAATAATCACTCAGACTATTCAATAGCTCAGCATTGCAATCCATATGGCTTCTTCTGCTTTTCAAAAATCACAGTGTCACAGGTATTCTGTGCACAGGTTTTTTCTTTCTTAAATAAAAATAAATCGGAGTTTGAGGATTTTAACAATCCCTTAACATTGGCAATGTGTTTGGATTTCAGAACCTGCAGAGTACATTTATCTACTACCTTGGGCCCAACTTCCATCTGCTGAATTGTAGTGAACCTCCCCATCACATAATAATTGAAATAAATGACAGCTACTAAAATCATTCCAAAAAGTAGCTTTGCCAGATTCCTTAAGGAGAATTCCCACAGATATATGTAGATATATGTATCTGCAGATTACCACAATGCTGATGCACAGAGAAAAAACAAAGTTTTTTCATCAGTGCTGACTTCTGCAGCATTAGAAATGCAGAAACTCAACATGCATATGAAAACTCCATTATCATCAGTGCAAGTGGTGCTCATGCATGACAAAGATGCATTTACTTTAACAGGCACATACTGAGGCAGGACAAAACCAGAAGGTAAAATCACTTTCCAGTACAGGGACTGCAAACAAAGGATTAGCCCTTGGATGGTGTCTTTTCCAGCATTTTGCCTCCAATGTCTGGTGAATCCCTAAAAATTTAGAAGGGTCTGACTTTGAATATGGGACAGATCAGATGATGCAGTCTCTCAATGTATCTTAAATAATCTGCTTTCCAAGTCTCCAACTCCAAAATGGCCTTTGTAGGTAATACATTCTCTATTGTGGTTCCTTTAAACTTCTTTTCTGAACTACACAAACCTCTGTTAATATAAATATTAATTAAAGCCACACTAGGTATAGTGAAACACTATCAAGGTACAAAAAAACTCATAGAAACTTAAAATTACTGACCTCTATGTATTGATTTGCTTAATAAAATGAATTTTTTTTTTCTTAGTTAGACTTGGGATCAAAAAATGGTTTCCTAGTCTAATATAGAGCACGAGTTATAGAAAACTCCAAGTTTTAGTCTCTATTCTTATTCCTGCTCCCTTGCCCAGCCTGGTACAACATATATCAAGTAATTGGGTTATTTTCTACCAGTTTCAGGGTTAGCCATGTTTTCAGCTTGTAAACACAAGACCAATTCTCTAAACAATGGATTCAGTCACATGAAAATAAGTGTACAAGTTCTTCACAGTAATTGCTGTCCTTCTCAGGCCTCTTCTAAGAACTAAATTTATGTGCTTACAGAAATCTGTATGTGTCTCCAAAAAGGTGTGTTGTGAAGGCAGGTAGATAACCCAGAAACCAGAGAGTTTGTGACAACACATCAGACAAACACCACCAGGGTGGGCCAGAACAGGCACAGCACAAGCAGGCAGCGGAGTGGAGAGGGCAGGAACTGGGCTCCAAAGGGAAATCCCAGCAGCAGCAGCGCTTTCTGCCAAAGCACAACAGCAGCCGTGCTCCTGCACAGGGCCTGAAGGCACTGACCCTTCCCAAGGCTCCTCTCGGGGCTAAGGAGCACACACTACTGCAAGGATTCATTGGGTCAACTCTAATGTGCCTGGAAGGGTGGAGTTCAACTGTACCTTAACAAATATTATCCCCAATGGCCTTTGGTTTTAAGTGTAAAATAAATAATATTCACACATCAGAAATGTTATCCAGAGGGTCTAAAACAATGGCTGAAATATCTTCCAGGATGATGTTTCTGTGAAATCTACCACAGCCCTTGTAAAAAGTAGACAATTATTAAACAAAATGTAAGCATTAAATAGTGTGTGAGTAATGTCACAACTATCATATACTCAGAGACTATAAAAGCATGACACATTACTACCAGAGCATGAAATCTTCTTATAATAACACTCTCTGCAGCATCTGCAATCCATTAGTGCAAAACGCTGGTAAAGTTAAATACACACTACAGGAAAAAGAACTGTGCTGCATGGGAATTAGCTGAAAAGTAACTGGAACAGCCCACCAGTAATATTACTCTCCATTCCAATTCCTGGAAAAACAGGAAGGATGAAAATCTCTTGGGGTGAGGGTGGTATGAATGCATTAACAAGTACCAGAAGAAGAAAAATCCATACACACACATACACATAAAAACTTATGGACAAATAAGAACAGTGGCTTGGTTTTGGAATGGTCTTCCAGGAAAGTCATCCTAAAGAGTGGGTGCTAATAAAAATCATACCATTACACCACATTCAAAACACTGCAAAAATCAGTCATGGGCTAAAGAGTTTTTAAAATAGTTAACATAAATATTTATTAGCAAATATGCAAACTGACTGTTCAACATGCAGCTATCACTAGAATCCAGGCCCTGCTCTCTCA